GAGTTCTTATATCATCAAAGAGTAATATCCAGATATATACATGCATGTAAGCTGTGTATATTTACATGCGCATATATATGTATATATAGAGTAATCCTATACAATGATATTCTTTAGTGTGATAAATTTCTCATATTTAGTGATATATTTCATTATTTTACACAAATACACATATCTATGAAACAGAGGAAAATATGATTGGAATAATATGCTGTAAGTTTCACATCCACATGATATCTTACCATTTATGAAACAGTAATAAAAAGGATATTCAGTTGTACTCTACTATTCTATTCATTCTTACTTTCATAAAGATTCAGGGAATGCCTGCTTTGTAGTAGGTTACCTTGCAAAGTGTAATAAATTATTTTCACTAAGAAAGTCATGTTTTCTTCCTACTATTTTTCTAGTCTCATGACTCTTAGCTAAAACAATGAAGTTGTTCTATTCTAAAATGAATTTGATGCAGACAACCAGTAAAACAAGATGCAAATTACCTTATTATCAGAAAAAATCCAATACCTCAGGGAAATCTTACACAGGTGACAGAAAACACCAAAAAAAAACCTGCAAAAAGATGCATTAATAGACTATACTACTTGCACAGCTTTACAGCACTACAAATCATATCACTATGGAGTACTGAATAATTCCACAACAGTACTGAATGCCATTACAGAGCCTTCATTACTGGGTTATTGGCCCATTAAAGCCATCAACACGTCGTTCTTGAATAAGCAACATAATGATGAGCCACTGCCCCAAAACATGATGATGTGTATGTGCCCTGCAGCAATAATAAAATCACAAATTAATGTATACTAATATAACAAAGTGCTAAGTGGAGTTGACAACAGTCAGTGTAAAAAGACTGTCATGTCTGTTTAGTATTCCTAGAGCAATGAGAAACAGTAGGTGAAGAAGTAGTTTTAAAAATACCATATCTAAGTGAAGGTACAAAGAAGGGAGAACTGTTGCATGGTCTCTAGTATCCAGCCACGCAGGTACAGCAAAGCTATGGCTGTATTCTAGATGTTTTGCATAACAAATTGTTTTTTTTCCATGCCTTCCAAACTTTTTCCTGCTTGTCGATAGAAATGACTGTAGGATTCATAGGATTCACAGAACTGCTACACCAAAAATCCCAGAAACAAAAGTTCTATATTCCTCCAGAGAACAGATACTGCAGAGTCATTAGTACTGCACATTTTTATATATTAGTCTGCTAAAACACCTTCAACTTTAAGCTGAAAAGACCCCCTTCTAGGAAGAGAAGAGTAGCTCATTTTCAGTGTTCATTCAGTTCTTGACATTTTTTC